TGGGGTAACTTTGTGTCAGAGAAGAGTGGTAGCCATCATTAGCGCTGTAGTTCCTGTCCTGACTCTATAAAAGTTGAGACTTTGCAGGAAGGTTAGCCATCCCCCCTCCCCCCTTATGAAAGTCCTACACAGCTGAGTTTTTACAGCTCTCCCTGCAACAGCTCCTCATTTGAATCTTCTTTGGGGGAAAAGGAGTTGCCCTCACAGTTTGGGACACAGATTTAGATACACTTATGATCCACATCTTTGCCCTTCGTTTGATAAAATGGCAAAATAATTAACTAATCTTACATTGAAGGATATCATTAGCATCACTGAAACGAATGAGCAATTTACACCTCAGAGCTATTGTTTCAGGTTCTGAGTCTGCATGGATTTCTGGCTGAATTATGCTGCTGTGTGTTTGGGCCCGCCCCCCACTGTAGTAGCTAAAGACAAAAACAAACAAACTACACCCTACCCCAGGCTCTGGAGAACCTTTGACATATCTGTCCATCTCACCCCTGCTACTCCTTCAAACCCTTTGATGGGCATGAATGGGAAGTGCAGCATTAATTCTTATTATAGTCTTGCTGAACTCTGCTTCAAATCAGGGAAACCTTAAGTGAGCTGGGGGTTACCTAATGACAATTTGAGAATGGCCTTGTTTCCTAATAAAGAAAACCCCACTGTAGAAGTGACACAGCACACTGCTACCATTTCATTAATGGAACAGTGAGGGGGGTGTGAGGGAAGAAGTTAAGAGATGTTGGTAGCCCATTTATTTCTACAAACAAACCAAGTTTAGGAGGTTTCCAGCCCCTTTACTTTGGAGTGTTTTGCTTTTACTATTTGACAATTAGTCAGTAGAGACTGGCAACATCTGCCAGAAGGTAAGTAGGTCCCCTACTGTGCATCATGTTGCTAAGACTCCAGTTCCACAGCCTACCCAGGGACAGTTGTAGCTGGACAAAAAGGAGGGGGTGAGTTACTCCTTATAACAAAACTGATCTGCTCTGAATTAGTTTCACACACTGTTGGAGTTGACTCAGGCAAAACCATAGGCTAGAGGTGGTGGGACTGGACCCCAAGGCAATGCCAGAGAGCAGAAGTTGATCTGAACTTTTTGAGCCCAGCTGGGGGCGGGGGGGGAGCCTGTTCTGTAGGGGTGGGAGAGTGAAAGGTTTCTCTTCTCTCCCCTTTTCAAAGTGGTTCGTTCTTCAGGGCAGTAAAATAAAGAGGCAGACCACGTGTGTCTGGTCTAGCTACCTTTGGGTGTTGCTAGTTTCTGAACCTGGGCTTAGCAAAACAGTCTCAAGGAGTTGCATCCTGAGTGGAGTGGTGGTATGTGGTAAGACAAAGGGGAAAGATTCCACTCATATAACCCTAGAACCTCAGCAATGGTAACAGGAAGTTGTTTTGGGATTATTTAAATAAAAGGTGCTGGGAGCAGCAGTTATCTGGAGACATCCAGACATGCTGGTGGAGTTTTCTTCTGGGTTTACACCAGAAGTACAATATTAGAATCATAGACTTTAAGGTCAGAAGGGACCATTATGATCATCTAGTCTGACCTCTTGCACAACACAGGCCACAGAATCTCACCCACCCACTCCTGTATCAAACCTATGTCTGAGCCATTAAAGTCCTCAAATCATGGTTTAAAGACTTCAAGGTGTAGAGAATCTTCCAGCAAGTGACCTGTGACTTCAGTGAGTTACACCCATTTAATTCAGAAGAGATTCAGATCCAGGTTTTCCTGGACACCTTTCCAGTCACCTGAACTCAAATTTGAATGTGTGGAGTCCTTTTAAAAATAAATAAAAATTAAAAAAGCCTTCCAAGCTGTACAGAGTCAGAGAGCATTAGAGATTTAATAAGAGTTTAATTAAAATAAGCTTGTAGGGAAGTAGAGCATGTTAAACTTACTTTGCATTTAAAAATCTGAATCCATAACACCAAGTATACACTAAGAAATTGTTTTCACTTGTTAATCTTGTCCAGAGGAGGCAGCTTGGATGAGGATAGTCAACAGACAGACAGTTCTTCCTGGAGCTTGGGATCTACCATTCAGCTCTCCACAAAGCCTATTACAAAAAGAATAGTTAGAAGTAAAGTTCTTGGAGGAAGACTGCTCATTTGCCAACAACTTCATTAGACACAGTTAAGCCCTCCAGTTTGATACAGGATGACTGCACCCCATTCTTACAGTAGCCAGAATGGTCAGAAATACCATGGAGTTGAATGAACAGGTTCCATGCACTATTAGGCTTCCTACATGCCATTACCAAGGAGCCTTAGGCTCCAGATGCTAAAAGCTCACTTGGGGAGACTAGAGAGGCAGTTCAGAAAAGGCTGCTCATGTCACCAGCAGATCCATCATGTGAGTCATGTCAAGGATAGAGTGTCTGGTATAGGAGCTAGGTTGCCCCTCCTAGAGGGAAGGCAGGTCAAGCCATGTGGATTGCTGAAGGGGTGGCATCTTCAGATATCTAGATCAAAGATTAGGGTAAACTCATGGACAAGGAACCCACTAACAGGTACGTACAGCTTAAGCCATGTTATTCTGCATTTGTTCTTCAATAGTGGGTAACATTTCCATTCCTCTATTGAAGATGGATTTTAACCAAAGTTTTACCAAGGATACAGAAATACAAGTTCTTAAAGCCATCTCCACCACCAGGCAGGGGAAACAGGTAGATTTTAAGTAGACTATCCTCACTTGTATTACCAGAGTTAACAAGAGTGCATTTAAAGCACATGGCACAGTAGTCAAACAGGGATCCAGGGAGACACTTTAGTCCTGTATAATATAGAAACATTTAAGGGGCAGCCAGATAGAGACTTTGGGGATTCATTTATTAGGGGCACAATACAGTTTTATTGTGCAGCTGACTAGGGAGCAGAGTCATCAGGTATAGCATCAACAAGATATGGTCTTCCCATAGTTTGGTTGTAAGTTACTTGGGTACTGTCAAGAGCACGCCCACACATCAGAAGGGCTTGACAAACCACTTCTCCCCTACCAATGACCTAGTCCTTTATTGGACCTAGAATGAGACACAATATGATCATTGCTCATTTATGGACATTTATTCTCAGACAATACCAGAGTGCTCTTAAGAGAGGTATCCAAGGGATTAGGGCATGTGGTTTAGATGTCCAAAAGTGACATATCTAGTCTCATACTTTGTACAGCTTCTAGCACAGTAGGATCCACCCAGATTCTGAATGGGGCTTCTTGGTGCTACCTGAATACAAATGGTGAAAGCATCCTACCAGGCAGCAGACTGATTTAATAAGGTCAAGCAACTTGCAAGGAGACTCATCTCACTTGATGAGCACTACTGTTATAGTCTTATAACTAGCAACAGATGTATGACAGTCATGTTAGTTTCTGGTGGTATGGATAACTGGTTAGACACTCTAATACGTCAAGAAACATTCAAAGACCCATATTGTTCTTACTAGCAGAGAGTCTTGGTTACAGCTGACCCATGCCAGGTCCTTGCTGCTGTGGAGCTGGCAGTACACCAAATCCTTGCTGCCCCAGCAGCCTGTTCTCTTGTACTTCCTGTATGTGTCTGTGGATTTCATGGATCTTCTCAGTTAGCAGATGGTGGTATTCCTCCTGATTTTAGGGAACAGGAGAGAAAGGAAAAAACCTATAGATTAGACAGATTGCATAAAGAACCCCCTACCAATATGCTGTGCATGTGCAGAAGCTGTCCCAATCCTAAATTATGCAATGAAGGAGAGTCAAGGTCAGATACTATACTGATTCCCTGCAAATGCAACACCACCACCACCACCACCACCAATAAGAAGCTTTTTTGTTGAGGTATAAGAATTAGGTTTCAACATCCATTCTTTATTGCATGCGAGGAAAGCAGACATTGAAGTATGGCACTATGGGAAGAGAGTTTCCTTGCTGTGAACATATGCAAATACTAAGTGAGAAGGACACATGCTTTCCACTCACTTCCCCATTCCCTTAAAAACCAAAAACAAACAAACAAAAAAACACAGCTTGTGACATACTAGCTTGCATTTTGTGGACCTTCTGGTCATTCACGGCTCTCAGGACAGCTCTATTTCAGATTGGTCTCA